TAGCGAAGTTATAGGTCAAGGATTAAATTTGCATATGTAGGATTAAAACAGACATTCAGTCGTATGCAAATGTTTGGGTACCCCTGGTCAAATGATACAGATTTTTTTTTATTTTGAGGATTTTCTAAGTGAAAATAAGTAAACACATCCTCTACAGAGAACACACTACTGCACATTTTAATGCACCATTACTGTTTATTTGCTGAATTTATTATACTGGACAAAATAAGCAATAAAATAAAATGTAGCCTGTGGCACATAAATAGAATAGCAATAGAAGCAAATAAATAGAAATGTACTTAGAAAACCAACAGCTGGGGGTGTACAAACTTGCATATGACTACACTTGGATCATACAGAGGAAAGAACTGAGAGATCTACGAATACACATTAATGTAAGCATAGATGAGGCGTGCAGTACTGTCCAAAGATCTGTTTTTCTAGGCAGTATTTGATTATTTGTTTAAGAAAACACATTTGAAATACAAATAAACAAATAAATCAATAAATAAGCAGTGTATTGTTATTTTCAGTCTGTCAGTGTAATAGCTTAACCATTTCCAAACCTTCACTCATGGAATTTAACAAATCCATGCAATGACTGGACAGCAGCAAGAAGCAGGAACCAAACCTGTGTTCTTCTAACTGTATTCCTCTAACAATAACTTTCTGTAAAACCAACAAAATCTTTTTGCATTGTACTGTACTCATGTTTATTTGTACTTATTCCAATGTTTACAGGCAAAAACACACTTACTGCCAAGACAAATAGTTTTAAACCATTTTCCTGGCTGCCAAATACTTTTGCACAGTACTGTGTACGCAAAGGCATACAGTTCTAAACAGGATCAAGACCCTCAACAGGCATAATGCCATGCTGAAGGCTAGAAAAGACAAAACAATACAATCATCCAGAGCAATAACAACATGCAAACTGTTAGCCTGAAAATATCCCATCAAATTTCTGAATAATACAGTGACAAAAGCAAGAAGGCTTATTTATACACTTCCAAGATCCACACCCATACACAATTGAGGCTGAGCCTGAAATACGCAGGCAAACACAATACCCTACTTTAGACCGAGGCTGACAGTGCAAATGCCACTCATGGCACACACAGTGGAAATAAAAGAGAAATATCTTTTCTTTTACTCATAATATCTACGTAACAGATCTAATTTTTAATGTGTATGCTTCATTAACTGCATTCATTTAAAAAAAACATGATTAAAAGCTACACTACGTGAGCTTTGGGCATTTGGAGACCTCTCTGGTGGAAATGTGTAACTGCACGCAACGTGTGGAAGAATATTTCGGAACATTGGTCGTGACCCCTTCCCCAAGTTGCCCTTACAAGGCAACTTGCAGCAAAGCATGGATGCTCAGTAATGTCAATCACAATTTCACAAATGGTTCCCTGCTTGAACAATGAGAATTGTGCAAATGGAATTGACCTGTCCAAGCTCTGCTGTTCTTTTGTAGCAACTGTTGCCAGGATTGGCAAAAAAAAAATCCCATTGTTGTAGCATAGTTTTTGTCAAGAATTCAAAAAGAACACAGTCAAAGCTTGACGTGTCAGTGAATTAACTACTATTGTCATCATATCTCCATCAGTGTAATGCTGGTTTTGCATTCGAGATCTAAACAGTAAGCCGGACCTTCTTTTTGAGGATGTGCGTGTGACATTAACACATAAAGACATATAACATAGTCAGAAAAACTTGAAATCTGGCCTGACGCTTCTGGCCTTTACATTATTTTTTCAGTCTTTACAAGGCAACTTGTAGCAAAACATGGACACTCAGTAATGCTTAGTGATGGTACTTCTTTCAATTTTCACTAAAAAATCTACAAAGTGCGGCTTTAACAGAAGAAGGCCTTCAGATGAAGCTGGCCGTTCTCACCCATCAGTGAACTTCCAAAGGCAAAACAAAGAACATCCGTGATTGAGTGTTGTGTTGTATGTTTTTTTTACATAGAGCTTCTGCCAGAGGACATAACACTGAAGCTATTTTTGTTTACTTTTTTTCACTGCACTTGTCTATTTTTCCTCTGTCGGTTTTTGAGTATTGGTGCGAGTCCATATACAATTACGGCAGGGGCAGAACTGGGCCCAGTTCCTGACTTTTACAGTCCTCTATTTATAGCTGCTACCGTAAATATCAGAGGCTCTATGTCTTCACAACAGCTCTTTATTTTTAGAGGCCTGCATATTCAACACACTGTTTTGTAAAGCAGCTCTAATACCCCTCTCAATATGCATAAACTGCCTCCAAATCAGAACAATGCTTGCTACCGCATCCCTACCTGATGCTAATTTTAAATGAGGGCTTTTTGGGTCAGGAAGCAATTACCGTTCTTCCGAGACAGTAACAGAGAGTAATTTTAAACTATAAAATTACTTTGTGTTTTGCTTCCAAAACCAAGTCTTTGGAAGAGGGTTATTACTGGAAGGGGGTTATTATAGAAAACAGATCAGACTATCTATAATTACCATCATTACCACCATCATCACCATCATCATCATCAAGTAAACACTTCTATATCCTCATGTTGTACATGGATATCTTAACACCACGTTGCTATAATCAGATTTGGGATCCTGTTCAAGTGAAATCTGTTTATAACTGTTCATAATTTCATCATTCCAGTTTAAATATATTTGTGTTGCAGTTTTTACCACTAATGAATTGGATTTACAGATTTACAGATTTTAAATGGTTTCGTCTATTCTTGTTTTTGATCAGGGTCATAAGCATAGCTAATGAAAAATAGACATTCACTATAAAATATTGAATTAAAAATAAAAATAAATAGGTAAGTCATACCTGCATTTCAGTTGCATTATGATACATGTAAACATGTTATATTTTTCGGAGTCATTCATTTTTCCCTCATTCAAACATCCAAAAGAAGGCCAGACCACTCTCTCGCATTTCAGAGACAACCAGCATATGCGAAAGTTTGCACACCCCTGGTTAAATGACATGTTTTGTTAAGTGAACACATTTTAATGCACATTTACTACTTATTTGTTGAGTGTAGCATATTAGGGGGAAAAAATCAAGAATATGGCTTGTGCAAGTTATGGCAAATTTCATATTTTTATTTTTTCTCAAATATGTTAAACTCAAATAAACAGAAATGGTGCTTTAAAAATTTCAGAAAAAATCCATAAGTTCCATGTAGAGGATGTGTCAATTTATTTTCACTTAGAAAATCAAAAAGACATTCATTTGACAGACTTTAGATGTTTGGAATGGTCCTTTAACTCCTATATTCATTATACTTTTATTGGATAAGGGACAGACACACAGTCATATGTAAAAGTGTGAACACTCTTCATCAAATGAGAAGTTTTGTTGATTTTCTAGCAATATTTTAGTTTAACATTTATATTGTCCTATAACTTTTGCCCATCATATTTTTGTTTTATTTTTTCCCAAAATCTTAAATGCAAATAAACAGTAATTGTGCATCAAAATGTGCAGTAGTGTGTTCTCTGTAGAGGATGTGTTCACTTATTTTCACTTAGAAAATCGTCAAAACATTTAATTTGCCCAAACATTTTGCATGCGACTGTACTAGTTTGAGAAAAACTGGGTACAATGAAAAATAATACCACACAAAAAAAGAAACGTGGACCCTAAAAAACACAAAACTCTGCATAGCGTTTCATTTGTGGCTCCGTCAGGCCTACCGTTCCCTCCCTCCTGCCCTATGAAGGAAACAGAGATGACAGTGTGCCAAAGCCTGGGTTCCTGTGGCAAAGCCCACCCCACCCCAGCCCCTCAGCGCCTGCAGAACAAACGCTCTGAACCTCAACTTCGGCTACAGTGATGACTGCCTCTCACCACTGATGGACCAGCACCAGATCCCCTCACGCCAACTCCAGTCTCAACCCACTAGGCTGTGACCACAGCGCCGTGGGCACACAGTCTATATTTACCATTAGAGTGCGCACACACATACACACACACACTCGCACACAAACAAACCATAATTAAACAGATAAAAAGAACAATGTGGTGTTGAGTTGCTAATTTTGACAGACGTACACCATAATTAAACTGATAAAAAGGACATTCTGTTGTTGCACTGCTAATTTTGCCTGTGTTTTCAAAAAGACACACAAGCTGCATATAGCAGGAGTCAATTGAGAAACGATTAAACAGAAAAAGTATAACGATCATAGGGGAAAGTTATGCACCCTAACAGTGAGCCCTGCTGTGGTGTTTTGGAGCCAGACACCTGACCCCAGGTTTCTCCAACAGCAGTGAAATGTAACTCCCACTCTACAAATCTGTGGTGAAAGTGCGACTTTCAAATGATATAGGCCAATCTCTCAGATCTCTTCCACACATATTTAACCCTGACCGGAGGCTCATATCACTGTCTTTATCATCCATTATCATTTTTATTAGCAGCATGAGTCCCATTGTTCTTTTTTCCGCTTGGAACTCACATTAGGCCTACCTACATTTCACGAGTTCAAAAAGGCTCGTCAATGATAGTGTCAAAGACTCGACAATCTGTTCTTCTTTCTGCCACGAATAAATCCATCGCCTCCACTTCCTGCTATTCCTACATGGTTTATCCATGCCAAGGTCAAGGCATGTGTTTGCATAGCTCTGTTTTTCATTCCAGTGAGGGCTTCATTTTCTGTAGATGGGAGGAAGAGCTGTGGAACTTTCTCCATATCCTATTTCCTCTCTGGGCTGTTTAAGGAATCCCAGCAGAGCCACTGTTTCACGGCCTCATGGGTAAAGGAAAGAATGGCCCAGATTAGCTTTTCAACTATTTAGTATTGTACTGCATGCTAACAATGACATTTTGGTTCATGTAAAGGAATTCTGCATGTATGCAAAGCTTTATCGTAATAAAGATCTATTAAAGATGAATAATTAAGATTCCTTGATTGTTGTCTAGCCTGGGTGACAAGTTTGACAAAAACACATTAACATTGTGGTGTGATGTCAGACTTTTAATATGCTTCAGATTCAATAAAACAGACATCTGTTCCAAAAAGTAATTTAAAGGCCCATATCAGAGAAAAATAAATTTTCTTCATTTTTATTGAAGTGGTATCTAAGTTTGAAGTGGTATTTAAACACTGTTTTAACGCATACTGTCCACTCTTCAGTTCATACAGTTCACATATGGAAACTAAGCTGCAAAAATGACATCCACTGGTTTGTGATGTCATGACAACACACTTAAATATATCTGCCAGTTTAGCCTACAGCAATTTAGCCCTCCTCACTCACACTTGAGTTATAAGAAGTGTTTGGATTGCTTGGAGTGAGGCAAAATTCAGGGCAGCACAGAGCTCATTAGGTATCGGTTCTAAAGGCACAGTAACAAAAACAGCCTGTTTAATTCTAGAGGATAAAGAGCGGCTAGAAATGTCATATAAAAATGAATTATTTGTTGTTTTTTGGTGCATAAACTCACACAGATGATATAAGTGGACTTCACTAGAACATTGTAGGATATGGGCCCTTTAACAGACAAAGTAACAGTTTGTACATATGTTGCCATGATGTTGTCCGTATAATCGGAACATAAAATGTAAACATGAACCCAAACTTAGAGAGAATAAACATCAGTGTCCAAAAGATATGCTGATGGTATCAGCTATACAATCATAAAAACACTGAGAATTGGTTTGAAGGCGTCATTTATTGCCATTCTGTTTGCAAATGAAACCCTGCAGATGATTCTGAATAGTGACTGAAGGGCCTAATATTATTTACAGAAGAGTACCTACTTACAGTGATCCAAGATATGACCCTTGAAAATGAAGAGCAAATCAAAACACAAAATCACAAATTCACATATGTTCCAACATTCGAAATCATATGGCTCTCTTAGCAATGCGAAATCAACACCCCCATCAAACCATCTCATCAAGCTTCAGTAATCCCAATAATGCACACTACGACACACATTATCATTCATGTTTTTCTACCTAACAGTTTGGGCTAATTGGAAGCCAGCCCCTCCCATCTGTCTGGTGCCTCCTCCATGTAGGAAAGGCCTACACATAATAGTAGGACTTGTGTGTCACTGGCTTTGCTCCAAACCACAAGGGTTGAAAGATAAGAGATCATCTGAGACTAATTAGGGTTGGAGCTGAATATTCATCAAGGGTGGGTTTGGCACGGACTTCAGGAAGGTTCCATTTCTGTCACTGATTCATATCTACACAATAGGGGAAAAAAGCCCATAACCTCTCAACAAAACATACTGCTGAGGGCAGTTTAGGATATCACAGAGGAGGAGACAGTAGAAGGAGGTGGGGTATCCCTCCCTGCTTGTGAAGCCCACTTCAATGGGTGACTTAGAACGCACTTTCGTTCTTCTTGTTTTTGTGCTGATTTCTTCCCCCTTGTTGACGTGTACACGAACAGCATAGAGGGCAGATGCTCTTCTTGCAAAGCCTTTTTATTACTCAATCCTAATAATATTTTTCTGAGCATCTCTGGCAAGTGTGTGCTAGTTGTCACAGTGCAGGCTTTCCTACACTCATAGCAACAGAGTGGGAAAGAGTATCAGCATAACTGCCAAAGGCAACAATAAGGTCCTGCACTGTCATCAAAGTCAAATTCTTAAAGGAATAGTCTGGTGATAAATCAAATTCACACGATTTTCCACTTACCCCAAATGAACTCGCTCAGCCAAGACAGGTTTATTGTCTAAGTTTGATTTTTTATTTTAGAAGTAGAGCTGCTTGGCTAATGTTGCTAATAATCACTGGTGGTCAATAGTCACCCAAACTGTTTCCACAAATGTAAGTTATGTAAAACTTGTTAATAAAAGAAAAAAAGATTTAGCACAATGGCATGGACAGGCCTTATTTACACACTTCAACTAAAACTGGAACTACATCATCATCTGCATCATAACGTCCTGCTTTCCAATACTATTCTGCCTTAAGACTCCAGGAGGCTGAAGCGCAGGGGTGTGTTGTAAAACATCACTGCGCAGGTATGTAGTGTCAGCACAGTAACACCTATGGCATGCTTACTTTAAGAGAGTTGGGGATGTGTTTACATAAATGGTTTGGGTGACTATTGACTTCTAGCGTTTGTAAGCAATGTTGGCTGGAGCTACAGTTCTAAAGTAAACATGGCTGACTGACTTTGTTTGAAAGTCATGTAAATTTGAAGTATTCCTTTAAGCCTACAGTAGATAATGCAGCGGGAATGCACACATTTACATAACAATGGCTAAAACAAGCTGCCAATTCAAAGTTCAATGGTGCTACACACGTCTAAAAGGCCAGTTAATGTCCCATACTTCAACAGGGTTTCAGATCTCATCTTGAATGCCTGTGGGTCAGTTGAAACCAGGTCTTTGGTTTTGATACTGAGGCCATCTATAACACAGTAAGTACATAGGAAATTGTCAGGAATGACTTAACAAGTGATACTTAAATAATACTTTCATATTATTGATTAAAATTGCTAAAATATTAAACACGTGAAATTAATCAAACAGGCTGACTGGAAAGATCTGTGCCCAAACTCACCTTGGAGCAAGGTGATACCTTCTTCTGTTGGGATGTCTTGATCTTGGTCTCTGAACGAAACCTATAAAAAAGGAAACTGGAGTTTGTATACTTTCTGTTTCTTACTCTATGTTCTCCAATTCCTTTTTTAATTCAGGCTTGGGTGGTCTTTCCATCAAATATGTTTCAGATTCCAATCTTCATTTTAGAAGCATCCTTTCACTTTACAATACATGCAAAAGTCAGGGGCCACCCTTCATTTATTTAAAATCCAGTCAAAATGGCCATTAAGTACTTCCAATAGGGAAGGAGAAAGTCAAATGAAAATAACTGAAAAATAAGGAGTGTCCCATAACTGGAGTTTAAAAAAATATTAAAACGTACAGATTCCTAACAAACGTGCAAGACCTGGTAGACCATCAGATCAGTCACCATCAGATAAACAGCACTTAAAACTTGCTAAAAAATTGCCAATGACTGCTGTTTAGACCTCAGTATCACGGAATGTGTTTAAGAAAACTTGGATTTTGAGAAGCAGACAATGCAACCAACTTCTAGACTGAACTTTGGAGGTGTGGAAAAATATCCTTGCAGATTTCTTTGAAAAACTGAAAGCGAGAAAGAATGGACGCTGTAATAAAGGCAAAATGTGGACACACTAAATACATGAAATGTATATTTTCGTTTTTTATCCTGCTGCTGAAAAATAAATAACTTGTACTACATAGCTGTTTTGACAGCACTTGCACAGCACTGTATGTATATCTACCTAGTATGCATGAAAGTGCTACACTGTACCTTGCATACAGGGCGGAGGGCCTCTCGTTTGCTGCCTATAGTACTGCTCTGAGGTGCTAAAGGGTTGGGGTCCACTCTCTCTGTGAGGCTTGCCATCCATGGGCCTCCCTGAGGAAATTACAGTATCATTTAAATGTGATTTTAATTATGGGGTGCAGTCCCTCAGAATAAGCATTTGCTATGGAGCAGTGAAATTGCGAATCACTGGAAACATAAACCATACAATTCTCCGAAGCCCGAACTTCACCACCACCTCCCCACAAGCCTGAGGCAGTGATTACCAGCTCAAATGCAGACATAAATTAAAGACAGACGTTTTATACGTACACTTGAATATCACATTTCTATCTGCAGAATACCGGATCTGAAATGCAAAGTAACCCCTCCTTCATAACAAAGAAAAAAAAGGAACAATTACCATCAAGAACAGTCTTTCCATCTCACAGTAATATAGACAGTTGTTACTTTTGTAATATTGCTTTGTATTTTTATCCAAAAAGAATGGTTTGCAAACATGTTTCTACTTCATTTAGACTGCTCCTTATACTAATTATCACCCAACATTTACTTGTGAAACTAAAAGTCCCTCATGAAAACAATATGAATAAATAATGAAATGCAGCAGACAAGATGTAGCTGTAACATGAACTAAACAGAAGACTTGCCACTGAGACACAACATGCCCTTCACTCGCTGTTCAACATCAATAGAAAAAAAACAGATGGAGACAATTTCACCATAAGGCCTCTTTTAATCTTGCCAAGGGACCACAGCACGCTGAATGCCAACTGAAAAGAAACGGGGCTCCAGGAGATTGTAACAGCCCCCACGTTATAATTTTGTTGTCTTGTTATGTTACCTAATATAGATCACCTCCTATAAAAAGCAACCCAGAATTATTCTTGTTATGACAAAACATGGTCTGTATCTAAAATTGTCTGGCAGCAGACTGTTTCAATACCATAGACCAGATGGATTGTATTATGTAGCCTACTGAATATGGTATGTCTGCAAGAGGTACCAGAACTGAACTACCCTCAGCAGGATACTCTACTCTCACATTATTCCATTCTTTTATTCAGAACATGGACAGCGATTACAAGCTCTCTAAATATTGACATATTATAAGAGTGATCAAAGCAGCAGAAGACTGCACTGTCTTTTTTCAAGCATTCATTTTTGCATTGTACCTCAGGAGTGAATCACTGGATGGCATGCAATAAACTGTCTCCCTGTTCGTTCTGCAGTTCCCTATTTAATTTGTACAAAGCCAACAATTTTCTTTTAAACCCAAGAAGGTACTTTATGCTTTTTCTTTGTGCTACACAGGCTGAGATGGAATAATCTGTCCCATGGTTTGTAGGTGAAGTAGGACAAGTGCAACTGTTCTCTCACCATGCTGTACTCTGCGAGGCTGGCTGGGGATGGTGGAGCCGCGCCTCCTGCAGGCTCCTAGCACCAGCTCTCGGAGTGAGAGGAAGAGTGTAGTCCAGGCAGGCTGGAACAAAAATATCATACTGTATGTGAATGGGAAAACCTGACACTGGAACAAGTTATGAATTATATAATAAATCAACAATCAATTTGTCAATCTCAGTGTCAGTTTTGCATTAAACATCATGTACTCAATTATTACTATCTGTGATGTTCCTCAAGGCTCAACAATAAGGCCAACTAAGGTTTTGACAACAGGAAACCTTAACTAACTAACTTTACCATTGATGGGAAGATGTAGAAGCAGTGGGCAGCTTTTGCTTAATTGGATCAATTATTTACAACAAAGGATCCAGCAGTCAAGAAATACGAAACAGATAGGAACAAAGATGAAGGACATTCTGGAAAACACTGTCCATATAGATGTCAGGAGCTGGCACCAACTTGGCGACACATAATAATAATTTTTCAACATTTTCCTGATGGACACCATGCATTTTTTTAATTAATATTAATGCTTCAAGATTATTTTTCATTTAGCACACTTAATAACATGCTTTATGGAATCACCACCACTCATGAGATGTTTACTCACATTGCCCTCTAGAAGCTCCTCTTTAGAACAACCAGAATGAGCCTGCAGGTACTTGGAATGGAAGAGCAAACCATCAAAGATTTTCCAAGGCATGAGCTCACTCATTGGAAAAGGAAAACCACAGCCACTGTTGGCTGCAATGATATAAGTCAGGCCACGTAGCAACAGTGAGCCAAGCTGGACAGCCCTTGGGTCCACCTCAGGAACCTGTATGAGAGGTTATACAAAATGATTACTTGAATAGATAGACAGGCAGAGATAAATAGATAAAATAAATAAGTTGATATGATTTTAAGACTTTTAATTTTTTTTTTTTAAAGTTGTAATGCATTTTAAGACCATTACCGCAACAGAATTGATGCAGCCAGCTCAAAAAAGACTGACTCTTGGCATCTATTTCACATTCAAAGTAATCATCTGTATAGGCAGTAAAATTTGCTATTTGATAAGTGATAATACATTTAGCAGCACTACCTTGTTACATATTTAACACCATGAGAAAAATATAAGTATGTAACACTTAACACCTCTTATGCTTGTGGGTATATTTTGGGTTTTTCCATCTGAATTTACATGCCCAAATCGTTAGGCAAATTATTCAGTAACTGCATGAAATAAACGTAAAGTGTAAAAGCTCCCCTCAAATTTACGGAAAATGTGTTTTATGATCATAAATATATTGCTATATGCTTAGAATTTACTGCTGGAAGCCAAAAATCCTAGACTCCTAGACTAAAAAGTTTTTTTAAAGTGCACATCACTGAAGAGACACCATCTGAGATCCAGTTTATAGCTCAGACTTGTGCAAAAATGGGGCAACTTTCAGTAGAAAAAGAGTTCAGCTTCTTTTATTATGAAGTTTTAAAATTACATTACCCATCTTTTTGACTGGAAAGAAGACAGTTACACCCACCTTTAGAAAGTAGCTTATGAAATATGAAAGTTATGACAGAGTTAAAGAGGTTAAGTTCATTCAATTAAAGAAGTTTTAGTACTTTTTAAGGAACCTCATACAGTCGTATCTAAAAGAGATTACATTTTAATGCACAATTATTGTTTTTTATTGTGTTTAATTTAGAGAAAACTACATAAAATGTGGCCTGTGCAGAAGTTCTGCACTATAAAATAAAAGTATTATAATAGAAAAGTTTATATGGCACATTTTACGTTTTTTTTTCACTATACTAAACTAAGCAAATCATAGAAATTGGGCACTAAAATTTGCAGAAAACTGCTATATTTAAGTTTGCTCCCTGTAAAGATGTGCTTGTGTATTTTCACCAACAAAACATGCAGTGTGACAAACTTTTGCACACAAGTGTCAATGCATGAAAATGATGTGATACTTAACCTTAATCATCGACAATTTCAAACCAGACAGTCACGGTGACCACCTGATAACACTGCTAATATCTATTCTCTATTTAACTCCATTACGGCTAGAGGAAGAACCCTTGGGAGATAATCTGAAATACCAGTCAAGATAACGGGATGTGTGGGGAGGGGGAGGGGGCAGATGTTCTCGCTCAACCGTCCGCTGCTCACCTGGCTTCCTCCCCCCCCAGCCAGGGAAGATAAGAGAAGGACTGATTAGCTTCTGTGACACCAAAACGAAAGACTTGCCTACCACCTGCTCCGCTCTCAAACACAGCTTAAACTAAAGCAAACAAAAAGCGGCCCAGAGATAAAGCCAAAGCGGCAGAGGCAGTCGAGGGCCCGTGCCTCTGAGTCATCGTTTGAAATATTAAGCTCTTTGCACCTGGGAGCTACGTTTTCTCTTTCAAAGAGCAAGACAGCTTTGTGGTGATCATTTATTTACTTTTCGGAACTTGTGCTCTGTTTGGCTACTTTTGATTCAAGTTTGACTGAAGCAAATCCGACGCATTCAATGCTTGGAATACCGCCAGCAAATTTCTAGGCAATGATTACCAACAGTAGCCTGCTGTTTGACGAAGAGATAGAGAGCAGTGCTTCCCTCTTCAAGCAAGAGCAGCAGCTGTTCATCTAGCGTTCGACTCCATAAACAATGAGAGCTGCCCCAGCCAGATGCCTGGAAGAGTCCAGCAGGCCCTGGGGGCACAGTTTAACATGAATGGCAACAGTTAAAAGTTGTGTGCTGGCCACCTGTGTGATGACACCTCTATCTCACATCTGTGCCATTTCACCTCTGTAAAAATCTAGAGGTGAAATGTAAGTGGAACCGCGTAAGTATGAAGAACTTGAAACCCTGTGAACCTTCATTTCGCGTTCTCTAAAAACATAAAAGATTTCCTGGAGTGCCTCATTTGATTCCAGCCTTGTTAAGACTGTGTAGTTACTGGTGCATGTGTCCACGCAGAGGCATCTTTAGCGCTAGCTTGCATTCACATTCCCTCAGTGTCACAAAGCAGCACAGGAGGAGAGAGATTAGAGGGGGGTATGAAGCAGCCCCTGGAGACTCTCCTGCCATCTGTCCAGCTCTTAAAGCTAGCCTCAAACCCCCTCCCCTGCGATCCCTTTTTCACTTTTCAGGCAGATGTGACAGTGCCGCTTCTGATGGAGCAACAACAATGGCGCGTGCAACAGGTGCTCCTGCCTCCCTCCGGCACATGGGAGGCAGGAGAGCTTCGCACACTTTCATCTGGCCAGCGGCAGGCTGTCACCACCGCGCCTTAAATACACACTTGTGCGCGTACACGCGCTTCCCTGAGCCGCTCGGCAATTCAACACCTGCTGCTCCGCGGTCACTAAACACACAGTCCCTGAACAGAATCATTCACCAGCCAAATTATTGCTGATTGCTACCCATATAAACTCCCCCATCTCACTTGGGGGCCCTGCTGACACAATCATACAAGCATGTGCAAATGCTGACATGTAGGGATGGGCAGCATGATGATATTTTATTGTAATTATGATAAACTGTGACACAATATGCTTCTCTGGGAATCCTGCGGATATTGTCAGTACTTAAGTATTTAAGTGAGTACTTAATTTTCCTAGTATTGTATTTTTTTCAGTGAGATATAGTTAAGAGTTTGTGTGGGTTTGCTTACCAAAAACAGTCATAATTCATTTTTAATGACCATTTTCCAACTTTTCATCATCTCTTAGAACTATACAGGCTGTTTGTATTACCATGCCTTTTTAAGACTCTTTTAAGATATATATATATATATATATATATATATATATATATATGAATGATGAATATCATTATTATTATGCATTCTGAACTGAAAAGCTCCTTATAACTTCAGCATCAGTGGGCGGAGCTAAACTGGTGTAGACACAGGGGGTGGGGCTGTTTTTGCAACTTCTTTTCCGTATACAGACTGCATGGACTAGGAAATAAATGATACGTTTTAAAACTTTAACAACATTTATATAGTATATCAAATTCTTATGTTTCAAAAAGTGAGGAATATTTAGGCTTCTCTTTAAAGAACATTGAATAAATGCATGTTTTATTAGAAATATTAGAAAGAGCATCATTAGGCCTGATTAACTGAATCTACTGTAGCGCAGTTTGTGAAACACTGAAAATAAAAAAAAATCATAGGTATTGATAACATTTGTAAAACATAGCTGTAGTGAGGCTTTTATGTTTGTTTCAACGTAATAAATCTCAGAAAAACTAAATATTGCGACACATATTGTGTATCGCATATTTCTGCTATATCGCCCACCTCTACATGAGCAAAAGGAAGATTACCTCTAATTTCCAAGATGCATGCAGATACAAGCTTAAAATTCTTACAGAATGTAAACTAGAGGTAGAAATATGGCAAATTTATCACAATATTTGAAGACATTTTGACATTACTTGTCAAAAAAATTAATTTTTTAGGGTTTGATAAGTTGGAACGGACACAAGGTGCGAGCAACACAACAGTGCCATATATATTTTAAATTCTATTTAATGAATTCTATGTTTTTATGATTCAACATTATGCTTTTGAATAATACATCAAATTAAGTAGAGCCACTTATGCTCTCTTGTACTGCCAGCGTCATTTGGATTCAAATTCACAGTCTCCAGATAAAAGAGCAAAAGTCTAAACAGCAATGTCACTTGTGAGCCTTTGCAAAGTCTGTTTTAAGACTATTCATGAATGATCAGTGACAATATTCACAACATGCTCAGAAAAGCTTGTCACAATAACGATATGATATGTCATAACGCCTGGGACAAATGTAAAAAACAACAAACAAAAACAACCTTATATATTGAAATATTACATTCAAGAAGTATGTTCTTCAACTACATTTCTCTATGTTAAGGACACAATTTTTTTCTCCAGGCTCAGAAACAGTGGTGACGTTTGAGTTAGGGAAGGAGAGGTGGGCCAAGGGGAGTTGGTTCATGCGCCCAAGCAAACGTGACACGTAAATCAAGAGGTGGCTTCCTGCATATCTCCCATGAGGCTCTAATTTGTCACTCTATCGTCCATTATCTCTGCTGTGGGGAGAGCGTTCAATCCGGGCACTCCAAAACCATGGGCTGCCTCGGAGGCTGCGTCTGAAATAGCGTGCATAGTAGGTTTAAATTAGGGTGGGAGCTGAAATAGCCCTGTGGTCACCGGCAGGGACGTCTCGGAGCCCGTCACCAGAGCATTGCTCTCAGGTTCAGACCACAATTAGAGCAGTTTTTAGGAGGAATGTCGCAAGGCGACCAAAAATTATCCCCCCAAGTCTCTCTTTTGCCTTATTTTCTCAACAGTGAGAGAATCAAATCCATCGCTCAAGGCGACTTGCTCTTCTGGAGAAAAAAAAAATGGTGGCCTTAATTTTTTGCAACTTCATGAAGCGTTGGTTTGGCAGGGGGAGCGAGGTATTTACCATGAGTTGCAGCTCTGAGCAAAACAGCCTGCAGTGTCCTTGAGAATACACGGTATAAATGTGCTTTAATCATTCACCAACACTCAAACAACTGCTGAGTTTCTGTTTATGGGGAGATTTCTGGTTAAAAACCAGGAAGTAAACATAGCTGGAGGGCACCTTTGAAATGGATTATGGATTACATTTGTAAGCTTCTGATGACGACAGAAATGCAGATCAATTTTCTGAACAACTGAAAGTTGTAATGTCTCTGGGTGGCTCCAAAAGAGATGTTCGTGCCACTTACCCTGGTTTGCTGCAGTTCTGAGTAGGATTTATATCTGATACAGACAGCTTGACTTAGATATGCATCTATGTCTTCCAGGGAAAGGTGTTTAGCCTAAAATAAGAACAAGTAGTCCTTTACAGTTTGCAAGCAGTGAAAAGTGAAAAAAATCAAGGTGTACATAACAAACAGTTTGAAAACCATCATTAGAAACCCATACATAAAGAAAGACATTTCAGTTGAGGCATAGGTCACACCCAGTGCCTGATAAGAACTACACACAACAAGCAAGGCTGTAGAACCACTCAAGCTGCAGACATTAAACAGTGCATGCAAAGTTACCACAGGCTACAACATTGGAATCCCAACTGAGAAATAACAAAAACACCAATAAACAAATGACCAACATGAAAAGCTAAGAGCTGTATGTTAAACTCACCTGAGCAGCAATGTATGTTACAAGACAAATCACAGCTACCAAAGGGCTGTCTAAGTGACTCAAGTCCTGAGTGAAGTCCTGTAGGTCAAAGACAGCCAGGAAAGTGGACACACGAACACTTTTCACCTCAGAGTCATTCCCAAACCACAGAGTCGTCAGGTCAGGAGTTCTCTCTGTTAATTGACCAATACCATAACAGAATAACGGAATTACTGCAGGGGAGACCTGGCTGGTATGAAAATGCATTCAGGTAGAATGTGCTTCTGGTCACCTACTTGTATTCCCATAGCATCATCATCATCTGCAAACTTTCACTGTAATTGGACAGATATTCCTTAAGACTGACCATGCAGACTGTTTTCATAGCATGAATAAAAGTTCTATATTGAGTGTTCTTTTGTAAATGTTTTTCAGTTGTGTGTAAAAGTCACAGAATTCATACATATTATTTTAATCACCCTATTAGTGGCTGTAATAAAGCACTGCTTTAGAGCATATAAATAACTCACAGTGAGATCCAGCCCAGCTAAAGTACAGCCTCCATATGGCGGGGTTAGTTTTAACAGTACTTTAACAGTATTAACAGCATTTTAACAGTACAGTTAAACAATGAGCGCAATCCATATTACTCACTATCTCAATCAAAACCATTTTTTTTACTTTTTGTAAATAAAATATATATTTTATTTTATTGTGCTGATATTTGCTGTTCTGCTTTTTAATAATTATTATGGCGAAGTTGTAACATTTGCACTCATACAGCTGAATTGTTCACAAATGGTAGGCAAAACAAAGCTGAATTAAATGATTAATCTTGCTCAGATTTGCTTATAATTTTTTTTAGCTAAAAATACGTCTTTAGCTTACCACACTCACCCCCATTTTAAAATTTGAGACATCAAAAAAGCATGTACATGTAAATATGTGTTAATCTAAGAGTTGATGATCTTACTACAAAGTATTGTACACTTTTGTTTTAACAACATTATTCCTAAAAGGTTATGAGATTCTTTAGATGACTATGATGCATTATGTCTGGTCAGCTGTTTTCTGCTGATGAAAGTATATATAGTGATTTGAAAACTGACCTCTTAAACGTAATGACTTTTTTTTTCATTTTTATCTGCGCTACTGCCTATTACAACACAGTCCATCAGATTGTTTACTTTTACACATGCTGACTAACAACATTCAAGTGAAACACTAAAGCCAACAGAAAGCTGATAAGAGGAAAGCCACTGCTATGAAACCTACATAATAATGAGAATATTGACAATAAATTATTGTAAATATATAATTAAAGTATATATAGTATCCATCGTGTAATATTTCTATTACCTCTTATATTAAACAAAATATATGATTTTAAAAGTAGCTTCTGGTGTCTAGTTTATAATATTTCAGACTGCTGTATAAGTTATGTTTTAATAAAACCAATTATTAATGAGACAAGTGATTTTAAACTTTTGAAAGGTAATGTATGTAAAAGAAAAAAAAAACAAGATCAAGTCATGTCAACAGAGCATTACTGAGGACAGAAAAACAAACTAATACCCCCAAAAGAATAAAAAATAAAACCCCACTATCTCTTATGGCACTGTTACTGGGAACATAGTTAACCGTCCAGTATTGACTTTTAATTGCAAAGAAAAAGCAACAGCAGAGCGCCTCAAAAACAAAAAGGTAATACGTTGCCACAAAAATGTCACTGAGTAGCGAAACCCTCACCACAGTCAGCCTGCCAGCCTGTGGAGCAGCCATGAAATCTGCAAACACTCCTAACAGTTCTGCACATTTTTTTCTTCTAAATTTTGAAAATTTATTTTACACTTAAAGACTAAACGGTTATCACATTTAATTCAACCTGAAACCCAAAGGTCAATCTCACTTAATTTTGATTTAGATTTTTCAGAATGAAAGTGTTGTGCTTAAATTGTATACCTGGTAGATTTAGGGGCTTGGGAGCCAGTTTTATTGGCTCCTTTAGTGGATTCCCTGGAAAAACAAACCACTCCTTGACAGACAAAGTATGATCATAAGAATCTAGAGAAGAAAAGAACAAGTATTGAGAAATGATTCTTGAAAATAACAGCATAAATAATATGAAATTCCAAAAGTAAAAACAACACCCCTAAGAAGAAATAGGAACTGATTATCTGTGGAATGTCTTGTCTTTAAAATATAATAAATGGCAAATCACACTGGATTCAGAAAGTAGCTATAGATTCATTTAATTTTATGAGCTCTGTTGGCATAAACCCTCTCTGTTTCTAAAGGAAGAATGGACCACATTCATCAAAAATTCCTCTTAAAACCCACTTATGCCATTTTCACGAAGATTCTGACATTTACCAGTGTTTTCTTATTTGGTATTTGTGCTTAGATAAAAACAGAATCTACACACAATCAGAGCACAAAGGTGCAAAGAATTCTGTGGTTTAAGAACACGTCATGAATCTGACGTAGACGTTTTCTTAGGACTTTTCTCAAGAACAAATTTAAGAAAAAACTTATATATATATTAGTGAATGAGTCCCAATGTTCTCTTTTACTGATTGCCATTTTATTGATCTTAAATCTAATACCGTTATTTATTCATTATTATTATTATTATTATTATTATTATTATTATATTTCTCAGAAATGTCTGTATAAATGTGAACAGTCTCTACATTTTGAGTATGAAACTGTAAAAGATGACTAACACTGAAAACACAGCTTGACCAAATTTTCAAAATGTCTGCATAATTCAATGAGATGTAAACAAAGTCATCCAGAGTGGTCAATTGAAAATGCTCAACTGTTGAGAAACTTTCTAACTCCAATTCGTGAAACCTACACGTGTTTTCTGAGTTTTTATATGTAATGTTGATAATGTTACAGAATGCTGTGTCCACCATGAATAGATTAAAAACTATGCCAAAATCTTATTAGAAAAACTACTGTAAACCAGGCATCAGGCAGCATATTCATAACCATTTTGTGAAACGTTAAACTCTTCAGACATCTGGTTCCTATTACCACCACTGTGAACAATTCAGACTGTAAGTTCATCTAGAACGGAGCCACTGACATCCAACAACTCTGAATGACTTTGTTTGCATCTTAACAGTTCAACTATGCAGGACATGAGTAATCAGTGGAATTCCCCTTTAAATACGATTAATTTAAAATGAGTGGGACCCCACCTGGCAGTGCTGGCAGAATAATACTGTAGATATGCTCTCTAATAGGTTGGTATAAAATGGCCTGTGGTGGTAGCTCTACTTCTTCCTCATCTTCCAGCGTATTGCTGCAGTCCACCACTCCATCATGCAGCACGTTATAGATCATAAAGCACTCGGCTCGCACATGCCTCTCCTTTGCTGCCTGCAACAACAGAAATTCATATCATTCAAACTCGGTGCTGTTTTAACAATGACTTTAAAATAAAACAGTGCCAATGTACTGTTTAGTACCTGTAATATGTCTGCACTCATATAGTTCTCCATCACACATACTGGCTCTGGAGGAGGAAGGCTGCAATCTAACCAAGGGGACATTTGTCCTGGGAGTAGATATGACTGCATTCCTTTCTCCACGACCTCATAGTCTGCTTTGGATAAATGCATCGAGGAGAGGCCAAGTATTCCATCACCATTAGGATGAAGTTTACTAATGAAATCCGCCACAGCATGGACTTTATCACCCTGATGTTTCCTCCCATACGCGGTCAGGGCATTTTTACGGACATACTGCAGCCGCTGCTCTGGCACGACATCATTACCAAGAATGCAGGCCAAGAGAGGAAGATCAGACTTCTGAAGCTTTAGGATGTGACACAGCTTTTCTCTAGAGAACTGCACTGTGGTCATGTTGTCTAATCTAAGTTTTGCGATAGACAGGTATGGAACAGTGTCATAGATAACAAAATCTGTATCTTGGCCAAGAATACACATACAGTTGTTAGAAAGAGCATATTGCGCAATCTCATAGTCCACTTCACGAACAGAGCACCATGTTTCTTGACCAAGGGACTTGATGGCAAATCTGGAGAAGGTGGCAAGTCCTGAGGGGAGACAAAACATTTCCCTGTCTGGTTGCTGGTGGTGATTCTTAATGAAGCGAAACACTCTAGCTATGTCCTGGTTAACTCTCAGACGTCTCTTCACCCATTCTGCCCGCTTCTGTTCCTCTATGGTTCCATCGAAGAAAAATACTAATCTTAAGCCGGCTGCTGTGAATGCACCCACGAATTCCTCCAGAAAATGCATGTACTCCTTCCACTGACCTCCATGGACCCAAGCATGGCATCGATACCAGTACCTCAGACAGGCCATTGCGTCTACTACCACTGTAGCAGTGGAGTCAGGATGGGCTTTAGCATGAGCTGCAGCCATCTGTCGAAAGTCCACAGGTAAGCAGATCTCTGGACAACAAGCCTCCATGAAGTACTGTAAGCCTTTCACACCCATGTCTATGTACGTAAGGAATCTTTGAGAAGTTCCTTGGACTGAGATGCTCCTTGTTTGCTCTTTAGAATGGAAAGAAGAAAGAAAATTCCAGATTTATTATGACTCCATAGTGTGTGCAAATCAAAAAAATATTTTTTAATATATGAAGGGTTTTGTCCCATTACGCATTATAGACCACTTTTAAGAATGTTATTTTTTGGAAATAAGTTGTTACGAGCAGGCTTAACACATACAGGAAATATCAATGGTATATTATAATTAATACCACATTTATTAGAGAAATAAAGTATGTTTTCCACTATATCTCACTATATCTGCTGCTCTTTTCAAAACTTGTTCTATCAAAAATCATTACAAATGGATATGCAACATTTCGGAATAAAACTCTATGTTCTTCTAGGGTTGTAACACCACAGCCTATTGAATCGCATCATTCAATATGAGCCTCTCATTCAACAGACTGGACCCAATGACGTGCCCAGTCTAATACTAATCATACTGAATGAAGTATAAATAAAATTAGACAAGCATGCCCACAATGAAGGCAGACGCTCCCTTCTCTGAAAACCCTGCATCTTTAGTACCTCAAACACAAAAGCAGGGAGAAAAGGAACACTCCTACACTCTTTAAAAATGGTTCTTCAAAGGTTCTTAGGTATAGGAAATGGTTCTATGCAGAATCATGAACACCCAGTGAAAGATTTGAATGCATAAATGGTTCTTCTCTATGATAGAAAGCCAGCTGTACATGGTTCTATATAGCTCTAAAAAGCGTTCCACTATTATGAGTCATAGAACCCCTTTTGCTGAGGAGTGTAGTTGTTAGTTGCTAGCGCATTTTTTAAAATATTGTACTTTTATAATGTCGAATGCTCTAATAAACTCAAAATGGATATACTGACATATTAACACAAAGCAGATTTTCAGGCACTATTTGCTGTATTGAAAAATGTGTCAAAATCAGACAAATCCATACAAATTCAAACCAAATTGTGAATTTTTTAATTGATTCACTTCTGAAACTGTTTTCCACTTTTGTATACTGAGCTGAACACACAACTTCAACTGAAGTGAAGTTTTGGACAAGACCCCAGAAAAACATACTACTTAGAACGCCTTCATCAAAGCTACTGGGTGGATTAGCAAATGGTTGGATGAAGGTTTTTGTCAGTAATGACAACAGTCTGTCTAGACACTTAAAAAAGAGTTGTTTTAAGGGTATTTTAGTAAAGGTAATGATTCTTTTTTAGAACCTTGAGTTCTATACAGAACTATTTCATGCTTAAATGTTTTTTTGCACAGTGAAATGGTTGTTGAGATTGGTAGAGAATGTGTTGTATATAGTTCTACATGGTTCCTTTACGAAAATGGTCCTATACAGCACTAAAAAGGGTTCTTCCATTATTACAAAGCTTGTAACAATACCAGAACCCTTTTTTAATGCTAAAGAACCCTTGAAGAAGCATTTTTTTAAGCTTGTAAGAATAGCAGAACCCTTTTTGGTGCTTTACAGATCCATAGTACCATAGTTCTAAATAAAACTATTGTCTTTGCTAAAGAACCTTTGAAGAACCATCTTTTTAAGTTTCTAATAGCAGCAGAACCCTTTTTGGTGCTATATAGAACAAAAGAACTATGGTTCTAAACAGAATCATTCCCTTTACTAAACAACCGTTGAAGAACCATGTTTTTAGGAGTGTAGAGAACATGCCAGACTTCAGGTGGAACTTCTACACAAGGCTGAAGTTGGATTCTTGTTTGAATTTTCCCGTCCCACCTTAAATGGTGCAGCAGTTCGCCAGAATGTAGCTGCTGCACTATTTAAGGTGGGACGGGAAAATTCAAAAAGAAGCTGGGGAATAAAAGCTGAATTCAGCTCCGTAACTTGTACTAAGCTGATGCTAACGCGAACACGGAGTCCAAAAGAGCAAACAACGGTTTAGTGTTCTTTGAAAGGGGGTATAACTGTAAAAATAAGCCCAGTCAGCCTACTAACCAGCTCACACAGCCCACAGCCAGGACACCGCTCTGTTTACAACGCCACACACTTCACAGAGCTGCTTCCTTCTTCCGGAGAAACCAAACCAATCAGCAGTCAGAACTGCGTTAAAGGAGCCGCTCAGCCAGACAGAGACAGTTCAGATCAACAAGTTATCATTTATGTTTATCATTGATGCTGGAATTGCTCATCATGACTGAAGCCAGTCTGAGAATGCCCTTTTTTTATCAGTCTGGCATCCAGAGATGGAGAAGCAGGAATAAACGTTTACCTTATAAAATAACACCTATAATATAACATCATAATAACAAGACATTCCAAAAGCTAATTAAACTGCCAAAAACGCCTGCTCTGCAAATAATTACAAATAGCAGACCATTTTGAAACTTAAAACTAAAATTATCACATTTAATAAGTTCTATATGTTATAAGTTTTAGCTATACAAAAGCTTTATATGTTCTCTTTTACTTATTACTCACCTTTTTAGACCAAAAATGTAGGGAATCGGTAACACGTTATTTGGATGGTCCACTGTAGCTTCTTTGTAAATGTTCAGTACATCTTTAAGTAACATTCAACTAAATAGCCATTAAATTCAACTGGTTGTGAAGTTAAGTGTTACTTGGATGGTCCACGGTAGGTGCTTTGTAAGTGCTCAGTTGGCCTTTAAGTAACATTCAACTAAATATCCATTAAATGCAACTGAATTTCAAGATTAGTGTGAAAGAATTGATTAAATCTAACCCTAACCCTAAACTTAACCCTAACCTTAACCTCAAGGTAAAACCTACATCTACTCCTAACCCTAACCCTAACCATAATGTTGATAATCAACTGAACATCACCAGAAAGTTTGTTAATGATTTAAGTCTCTGTAGAGAATCTATAGAAGACCATCCAAATAAAGTGTGACCTGGAAATTTTTATTATTCTTAATGTTAATTCTTTTAATATTCACTCTCCACTTCATTTTTAGAGTTGCAACTGATGACCAACAATGAAAACATGGCTTATTTCCCCACTGTTTCTTACAGAACTGATCCAGCCACCTAATGACATTTCAAGCACCTTCCTGGCTGTTGCTTTGGCAGGGTTTCAAGTACTTTGCAGCATCCTCCCTTATGATAACTACCAGTCATAGCTGGGAAATACCCTCCGAATGGGATTCACGGAATGTTGGTGTAAAGATGTATTTGTTTTTTACTATATGTGCTTGACTTTTAGTGATGACCACAGCACCTTTTGCCACTTGGCCACAGAATCTGTAAGGTGCTTTTTTTTTTTTAGCATGAATTAGACTTGTTTGGCTTGTTTTTAAGACTCATTTACAATATATTTGTTGCATAATCAGACTCAAAACCACTAGCCTGATGAATGTACATGGTTTTTAATGTCTGTTCAGGCTTACAAAAGTCTTTCAACAGCGCTTTCACACCATTTTTCACTTCAATTAAGGAAAGTAGCCCGAATACGCTGCGCAATCGTCATGTAACAGCCGTGTTTCGGAGCCTGTCAGAGCCTAGAGAGCCGTTGCGCGCTCCCGTGCTCTGCTGATCTATTGATTTTTTTTCCCTGCCTCTCTTTGAACTGAACTTTCTCAAATGAACAAAACCACCCCGGGGAAAGGGGCAGATGTTCTCTGAGGGACATCGGCACGCGACTGTCTTCAGCCGAAGAATTCAACCCCTCACGCACGCACGGGACCCCCAAAACCTTTTCTCCGTTACAATAGCCGGGCTACTGTGAAGAGTTCATGCCCACTCATAGCAGCTGGCCGGAGTAATCTGACTTGAGATACAAAGACCTGCTCACTCAGTCTTAGAGGCTGTGTTAATCTCGCAGCCAGGCTTTCATACAGAGCGAGGAGGGGGAAAGAAAATCGGCACGGAGAAAAACAGATGGCAGTTCGCTCTCAGTTGGTCTTAGATGTTTCCATGAGCCGTGATGCTGAGCTGCTTCTTATCAATCATACGATCCTGAGCCACGCGCCTGCGCTTTTGTCATTGTAATGGCGCGCGACTCCGCTGCGTCACGTTGTTTTTAAGTCCGCTCTCGCACACAAAACATCAGCGCGGAGGGCTGAACTGTAAAGTGCACAGCGCTGTGACTTTTGGTTTTATTGTAAAAAAAAGTGACCAAAACCACGAAAACCCCCATTTGTCTGCGCCTCAGGCGATCTGGAGAGAGAGGAAGTAAACATGCACTCTTAAAAAAGATGGTTCTTGAAGGGTTCCATATAGAACCATGAACACTTAAAGAACCATTTGCATGCTTAAATGGCTCTTTGACGCAGATTGACGCAGAATGTGTTGTACATAGTTTTAGTGTTGTTTATGGTTCCACTTGTTGGTACTCTACAGAACCAACCAAGGAACCATGTACAACACATGCAAATGGTGTTCTTTGAGTGTTATGAATATTATATATATAAATATATATATATATATATATATATATATATATATATATATATATATATATATATAATATAAACACACACCATGTTTTTTTAGAGTGCACAGCAGAAGCCTATCAGCACATAAATGTGTGATCGCATTGTGATGCATGTCATTAATTTAAGCAGACAAGTGCAACGGCTTTCCAGCCTGCTTTGTGCTCCGTTTGGCCGGACTGAGGTGCGGGCAACAGGCAACAGGTCCAGCAACAGTGCCGCAAGCTCGAAGCCCCAACACTGTCGTTATTGTACAGTGCTGGTGTTCCCACGGGCCACTGGCTCGAGCAATCTAGGTTCCAGCTTCCCCAACCATATGGCTAGTGGCCGGCCATTCTTTAACATGCTTCCAGTCTAATTTGGAGGAAGAGCGCGCCGCGGAGAGAAGCAGTGGAGACATGCAGTTGAGATGTGAAAAAACGCCATTTGGTTGGGAGCAGATGGCTGGCTTGGGGGCCGTCCGCGTCTAAAGGCGTGTCGTGCCCTTCAGTGAGAATCCCCAAGGGCTACCCCCCCCCCTCCACCACCACCACCACCCCCCACCCTCCCCTTGTATTCAAAATCAATGAAAATTAAAGCGCGAAGAAAAGATGAATAGTCAGACCTCGAGTCCCGGTCTTTGTTCGCCGCAGCTACTGGTGGGCAGGAGTTAAAGTACAACAGCCCCCTATAGAAACACTTAAGTTAAACAGTCTCTCCATAGTCCACCTCCAGAAAGGAGGAGGAGGACGAGAAAGGGGAGCTTTCTGCTTGATTTCACCAAGACAGAATCGCGTGGCATAAATTACGTTTGAAAAGAATAAACGGAGTGGGCATAAATCCAGGAGATTTCACTCTGCCTTTCAGCTCCGCTTTGCTGCAGTAATCGCGAAATGTGTGCTACGTCAGTATAAAGGATTGTCCGGTGGAGTGTGATGATAGAGGGCTCGGGGCGGTGCAGTGGTCAGCTGGAAGGTACGGCCACGCACTGAATGAAAGGCATGGTCATTTTGAAAGAAGGATGAGGAGGCTTGGTCAGTGGAGGGCTGTTCCGGATTGACACCTGTGGTGTGCTATCATTTTAGAGGAGTTATAGGCAGTTTTGGGCGGGGGGCGGAGTTATTTATCTGTTCAAGTACAGAATTAATGTAGTTTGATGTAGGTTATGGGTGATGGTATTCCTCTTATAGCACGGTTCAAAAACTTTGGTTCTACATTCTGCAACGCTTTACTATCTATCTATCTATCTATCTATCTATCTATCTATCTATCTATGTATACACACACACACATATATATATAATATATATATATATATATATATATATATATATATATATATATATATACTTTGTGCACTTCTTGTATGTTTGTATCTAAAAACATTCTCTCACTCACTCTCTCTCTTTCATGTCTATGTATATATATATATATATATATATATATATATATATATATATATATATATATATGTGTGTGTGTGTGTGTGTGTGTGTGTATCTGTGATGTTGACCTCCATGTAAACCCAACTGTGCTGCTCAGGAAAACAACAGAGCCCCTCCAGCAGAGCGGTCGGTTAAAAAAAAAAAACAGCTCAAACGTAGCCGCATTCCTCTGGAATTAAACCGGCCAGTCGTTTCAATTAACGCCCTAACGAAGACCACCCTCACACATGAGCACACGCGCGCGGGCTTGGGCATGCGCACACAGCCCACCGGCTGAAACCTACTATGTCAATTCATTTCATAACCACAAGCGTGTGTGTGTGTGTGTGTGTGCGTTTTCTTTTTTTTTTTGTCGACTCTTCTGAGGACGCACTCCGAGCGCCTGGGTGACGCACTCAGGACTGCACTGAGCAGGGAAGCTAAGGGCGATGTGCTGCGGGCGAGGCGGAGGCGGAGGCGGAGGCGGTGCTGTAGAGACAGCAGCGTGCGCCGAGGGGAGCTCTTTCTCCCCGTTACATTGTGCAGGGGGAGCAGGTGCTGCCCGAATTACCATACAGCTGAGAGCACAAAGAACAAACTTATTCTTCCCTCACACAATAACAAAGTGCCTTAATGACAGCCACGCGAACGACACACACCAGCTCGGTTTTACAGCCCAGCTCAGGCAGGGAAACGAGGAAAACATCAACTTTCAGAAAGTGCGCGTCACTGAAACGCCTGAGATCTTATCTGGGGCGAATGAAAAAAAGTTAGGACCTGATTCGGAGATATTCTCTTCAGCTAAAACTCTTAAACTTTTACTCTAACTCGTTTGCGCTCTGGAGAGAGCAACAGGTGGAGAAGCCTTTGGATGCATTTTACATGCGTAATGATCCTCAAAGATGACGCATATGAAGCTCTCCAAATGTAAACAAACCGTACATGAAGTATGTTAATGAATGTGTTAGTCACTGTGACGTTTCCACGCCAGTAATAAAGCATTATAGATGTGATACTATAGTAAGCGATAATAATTAAGCTGTGGGTATCTCTGAACTAAAGGTGCGAGCACCGCGCGCACGACATGTGATGTAATGTTCAGGCTTTACCCCTGGATGTGTAGGATTCTCCTGTTTTTTTTTTTTCTTATATGTAAATGAGACATTTTTTTCTCCCCCTCACTCTCTCTCTCCTTTTTAGCAATGGGGAAGGGTTGCACATTTTACAGCTCAGTGACCATTTGGCGATCTTTTAGGGTGAGGGGGGGTGGAGTGGAAGGGGGTGATGGTGGAAGGTGGGGGGGGGAGTGGTGGTGGTGAAAAAGTGTCCCTTTGTGACAACTCGAGCCAGATTGGGGGAGTAGCTCATTTGCATCTCATTACCCTAGCAGGCGCACTCTGTATATAACGGGGCAGCAGGCGGACCGGGACATTAGACACCCGCACAGTCCACATGGAATCAGGATCGCTGGAGGAACAGAGTTTGTAACGAGAAAGAGAGAGAGAGAGAGTTGTGGATCCCTACAAACTCCTGCGCAACGGAAAGTACACAGCACCGGAGCGACCCTGTTGGCCGGGGTCGCCCTCTCTTTTTTCCCCCTCTTACCTTCTCGTGGAAAGCGCGAGCGAACTGGACGCATTGACCACTTGTTGGAAGTAATCGCCTGAATTTTGGGATTTATCTCCGGTTTAATTGTTTTTACAAGCCAGAGAGGACTTACATGGCCCGAGGAAGAAGATAAAGCAACAACAGCAACTAAGATAGTGAGAACGCAGCGAAGGGGTTCTTTGGAGTCTACATGACTTTTTGAGCAGCCCGAGCGCAGTGCTGAAGATCTTCACCACCATGGGGCGACTTATGATAGCTGCCATCCTTTGTGTCATGCTCAGCCAGGTAAAGAAAGTGTCTCGTGCCGCTTTGTTGTTTAAATATTAGTTGAACTAATGCTCATTATGTTCATAGATTACTTGAAATAACGCTTATTGCTCTTAGTATCACTAGTAACCCTTGATGTCCCCCTTTTGCAGGGTTTTTGTTCTGGAGTCTTTGAGTTAAAGCTGCAGGAGTTTCTCAACAAGAAAGGAATAACAGGCAACACGAACTGCTGCAAAGGAGCGGCGGCGTCTGGGATCCAGCAGTGCGAGTGCAAAACGTTTTTCAGGGTCTGCCTGAAACATTACCAAGCCAACGTATCCCCGGAGCCTCCGTGCACGTACGGCGGAGCTGTTACTCCCGTGCTCGGATCCAACTCCTTCCAAGTTCCCGAGAGCGCCTCGGACTCTTTCACCAACCCAATCCGTTTCCCTTTCGGATTCACGTGGCCGGTGAGTAACTCAGCAATACACTAGACATAATAACGCGATCCTGTGCGCGGGTTATTTAGTCTGCATGGCTGACACGCTGAAACCCACTCGCTAAGCATCATTATGCTCATTCGCCCATGCAAGGTAAACTCATTTGGGCCCCTCTGACAAATGTTGGCTGGGTGGGAAACTTCACATCCCCAGGGACGGTATATAATTGTCAGCTCAGCGTGAAATTCCGAACGCTTTCATTTTACTGCGGGGAGGACGTGTGAACCTGGGGAACTAGAGCGTGAATCCTAATGCCATCACACCTCAGCCCAGCCTTAGCTTCCGTCCAATGCAAAGCAGTGGTGGGTCGAGCTGCAGTGCTGACCCCACTGACGTTACAGTGCAATGCTTAGAGTGGTTATTCATTGGTTTCCCCTTTTCTGTGTGTTCCTACAGGGCACGTTCTCGCTCATTGTTGAAGCCCTGCACACCGATTCCGCTGAGGATCTGTCAACCGGTAAGACTCGAAGACCACTGAAAACAGACCCCCCTCCTCACTGTAACTCTATAACTTGTGAATTCGTGAACTAACTAGGCTATTTTCACTTTTTCAAGAAAACCCAGAGCGTTTGATCAGCCGCATGACCACCCAGCGGCACCTCACGGTTGGAGAGGAGTGGTCCCAAGACCTCCAAGTGGCTGGGAGAACGGAGCTGAAGTACTCGTACAGATTTGTGTGCGATGAGCATTACTACGGCGAGGGCTGCTCCGTCTTCTGCCGCCCACGTGACGACGCCTTCGGCCACTTCACCTGCGGAGAGCGCGGGGAGATCATCTGCAACTCGGGCTGGAAGGGGCAGTACTGCACTGAACGTAAGCCGAAGTTTCTACGACCTTGTGCCTTTTATCTTATCCTGATGGCATCTCAGGGGGATTGACTCACCTCTGTGGGGAAATGCTTGCTGGAACACGCTTTCGAGTAGTAAGAATGATAATAATGGAAGGGCCATATAATGGCACGCGTGCCATAGATTAAATGTAATGCCTGATTGGCTACTTGGCAAGGCGCTCGGCGTTGATTGGCTTAGCGCGCTGAGGTATTGTTGGAAGCGGGCAGCTGCTGAGTGAGGGAAGACAATAGAGCAGCTGTCCTGCACTGGCACCATGTACACCAGCTGTCCACCCTTATCTCCACCGACTCTGGGACATTATGGGGAGGGGTCTGTATGAACAGAGTGAAAAAAAAGAGGGACTTCTGACCCACAGTTAGGAGAAAAGAGGCTTTTGTTTGTCAATCTTTTGTATGAGTGCAACTGTGTTAAGCGGGGTCTCTTTCCCAGGGTTCTGACAGAGGCATATTCTTTCTAGCAGCTAGCCCACATTACTCAATCTCAACTGTGCCTGAACAATAATAATGTTGTCATAATTAACCAGATCGATCTCTCTCTCTTTAGCAATCTGTCTCCCGGGCTGTGATGAGGAGCATGGCTTTTGCGACAAGCCTGGCGAATGCAAGTAAGTAGAATTTCAAGTGCTTTCACAAACCTGTTGCATCACACACAAGGATGCAATCTAATCCATCTCGTGCTTTGCTTCAGATGCAGAGTTGGCTTCACTGGAAAGTACTGTGATGATTGTATTCGCTATCCCGGCTGTTTACATGGAACCTGCCAGCAACCGTGGCAGTGCAACTGCCAAGAGGGCTGGGGTGGTCTGTTCTGCAACCAAGGTGAATGTTTGCTAATATCTCCAGCGTTGCTTTAACCCCTTAAATGACCAAGGCCCACCAGCAGGCCCAACGTTTTATTGCGCACTTATATAACCTAAGAATAGCTCAACCATTTTGAAATTGAAGTCCATGTAGTTACTGTATAATAAGCCTTGTGTGTGTATAGGCCTGGGATTTTAGTGGGTTAATGCACTAGTAGCTTTGTGCAAAAGTTTGGGCACCACTGGTCAAATGATATGCTTTTGTTGATTTTCTAAGTGAAAAGAGAACACACATCTGCACATTTTAATACTGTTTACTTGCTGAGTTTGACATATTGGGGAAGAAAATGCAACATAAAATGTGGTTTGTGCTAAAATCATAGCCCTCTTTGTGTTGTATGTATTTCCAGTATGTTAAATTAAAACTGAACACTGAGCTCTGCAGACAAATACTCTGTAGACGATGTGCGTTAATTTAGTTTTCACAATAAACAAATCATGTAATCATGTAACACCGTGAGTGTTCAAATGTTTGCAGACATCTGTATCTTTTTTCAAAAATCTTTAGCAGAGCATGGACTTAGGAGGAAGGACTAACATTTTGTTTCCATGTTTCAGACCTGAATTACTGCACACATCACAAACCATGTGCTAATGGGGCCACTTGCACCAACACTGGCCAAGGCAGCTACACCTGCGCCTGCAGGCCTGGCTTCACGGGAGCAAGCTGTGAGATTGAGGTCAATGAGTGCTCCGACAACCCCTGCAGGAATGGAGGAAGCTGCACTGTAAGTTACTTAGCTGTGGTGGGATACTGAGAGGATGGGAAGGTGTTCGTATTTCTCCAAAAGGGTTTTTTCTAATCATTCCTTTGGCCTTGCAGGATCTTGAGAACACATATAACTGTGCATGTCCTCCTGGCTTCTATGGAAGAAACTGCGAGCTAAGTGCCATGACTTGTGCTGATGGGCCCTGTTTCAATGGTGGACGCTGTGCCGACAATCCTGACGGAGGATATTTCTGTCAGTGTCCCACGGGATATGCTGGCTTCAACTGTGAGAAGAAGATTGACCACTGTAGCTCCAACCCCTGCTCAAATGGTAAATTGAAACTCATTTGGATTCAAAGTGATTTTTCCCAGTTTAAGTTTGAATCAGTTTATTCAATATCTTCTCAATGTCTTTCGCTTCTTCTCCAGGTGCCCAGTGTCTAGATCTTGTGGATTCCTATCTCTGCCAATGTCCAGAGGGTTTCACAGGAACACACTGTGATGACAATATCAACGAGTGCGCTAGCTACCCATGTCAGAATGGAGGTACTTGCCAGGATGGTCTCAATGACTACACCTGCACCTGCCCACCTGGATACACCGGCAAGAACTGCAGCTCACCAGTCAACAAGTGCGTGCATAACCCATGCCACAATGGTGGCACCTGTCACGAAAGGGACCACCGCTATGTGTGTGCATGTATTCCTGGATACGGAGGACGTAACTGCCAGTTCCTGCTCCCCGAACATCCTCACGGACAGCCCGCTGTGGAAGGACCCGACAAAAGGTACTCCGATGACGAGGATGATAACGAGTTTCCTTGGATGGCGGTCTGTGCTGGGATTATTCTGGTGCTTTTGCTCCTCCTCGGCTGCGCTGTCCTGGTCGTGTACATCCGCTTAAAAGTGCAGCAGAGGAGCCAGCAAATGGAAAGCCATAATGAAAGCGAGACCATGAACAACCTGACCACCAACTGCAGCCGGGAGAAGGACTTGTCCGTCAGCATTATAGGCACCACGCAGGTGAAGAACACCAACAAGAAAGTGGACTTCCAGAGCGAGGCAGCCGCTGTGGAAAAGAACGGCTACAAGTCTCGCTATTCATTAGTGGATTATAATCTTGTTCACGAACTAAAGCAGGAGGACTTGGGGAAAGAAGACTCTGAGAAAAGCGAAACGAAATGTGAAGCTCTTGACCCGGAGTCAGAAGAAAAGCACAGGAAACATTTAAAAAGGTGAATAGTGCTGGAGATTTGTTGAAGAAAAATGCACTGAAACCTATTAGAGTTCATTATGCTGTTGATTCTGTGCCTAACGTTGTTTTATCTTTGAATTACAGTGAGACTTCAGAGAACTGTTCAGAGTCTGTGTGCAAAGACACAAAGTACCAGTCTGTCTTCGTAATATCAGAAGAAAAGGATGAATGTATTATCGCAACTGAGGTGAGTTCATCTCTATGTAACCTGTCAGCCTCTTGCATTCCGATCACATCTTTCCAAAAATCAGAGAACTGAATCTCTCTCTCTCTCTCTCGCAGGTGTAACGCCACCAGTGCTCGTCTTGCTCTACGGGAGGTTTTACTCCAGTAAATGCTGCTCAAACCAGAGGGAAGGTTTCCTTCATGTGACTGCTGCTGTGGGGACTTATGTTGATGGTGATATTCAGAATGAGCTGGTTCTCAACTGAAGTAAGCACAGTGACTGCAGAAAAAGGATGTTGGGCCATACTGGCTCGCGCTCTCAAAGTTTGTTTCCCAGGAACGTGCCAAACGGACTTGTTGCACTTCCTGTAGGGAGAGTTATTCTTTTACCTCATTGCACTACGGAGGGTTGCTTTTTAAATAATGTATTTAACATTCACATTAAGTGATTACTGTGTATGAGTATGCACTGACTGCAGTGTCTATGTTTAAATTCTCTGATCCATTGTGTAGGCAGAGGAAAAACGCCGCCATCACATCCTGATAGATATTTGAAAAGCTGTATTCTTTTTTTTTTATTTAAATGTTATTTGTGATTCAGTTGTTTGTGTTTTTTATTTTGTGAAGTTATGTTTGATATAATTTAATCTTTTCCTCATTTTCGCAAATTTGTATATTGTATATAAGGCACTTCGGGTCTTTGTGACTGTTTTCCTACAGTAATGTATTTAAATGTGTTATGGGAATTGTTTTATACGTGTTCCTCATGAAGAAAATCACCTTAATATTTTTCCAAATAAATCCTGTATGAAATATTACCAAATGAGTGATGCATTCTAGTGCTGAGAAATGATCCATAACTGTATAGATGTTTATTTTCTGGTGATACAGTCACAGACTATTAACAGGCTTGCATGAGTCAACCATGGTTCTATAAATTAAGGCACCTCTACTAGAAAGTCACTTTACTGCAGATGTTAAAAGGGAATTTCACTTGTTGAGATGTAAACAAAGTGATTCAGAGTGGTTTATTGCAGAGAAACTTGCTGACTCACATTTCTTTACAGTGGTGGTGATAGGAACCAGGGGTCGTAATGCCTACTATAACTATATACTATAACTATTTTATTTGCTATCCAAAACCACCAGTGAACTTAAACCTACCTTCTGAGTTTTTAAATGTAATGTTTGTAATGGGGAAAATAGTGGTAAATCTGAAAAACAAGTAGCTTTGGAGACTATTTTGCCTTTACGACACCCTGCATGCACCACTTCACCATGAGTGTGTTATAAAAAGTTTTAGGCCAAAAGCAAAACTATTATACAGAAATGCCTCAGACATCAGGCAGCATATTCATAACCATTTCATATCAGTTTTCTTTGAAGTAGTTTTAGAGGTGTTAAACACCTTGGATATCTGGTTCTACCAGATTTGTTCACCACCAATGTAAACAAATCTGACTCATGAACTTCCTCTAGAATGAAGCATTTCATATCAAACCACCCTGAATGACTTTGTTTATATCTTAGTAGTCAAATAACACTGAAAATTTGAGAAATCAAAAAAGAAGCTGGGGTAATTCTGAGTTATTCTAGATTATTACTGAACACAGTTTTCATTTCTCAGTATAATAAGCCTAAAAAACGTAGTGCTTTTTTGAAATGTACAATTCCTGTTGTGGGCAAAATTGAACGATTTCAGAATTTGAAGACATCCTTGAGCTTAAACCATGTAGCAGTGGACTTAATGGTGTGGTTACAACTCGGCTGTACCTTGTTTGGCTCTGTTCTAAAACTCTGAAACTATAGGTGTCAACTGAATGTGACTAAAGATAAGATCATGTCTTAATCATATTTAATGTGAGCACTGCTTAAAATAAATGTGCAGCCAGTGATTAACACAGTTTGTATAACCAAGCTTTAAATATGTAGGGTTAATTTCCTATGTTAATATGCGCAGATCATGAGTCTCAGTACAAAGTTGATATTTGTCCCACCAAATTATATTTGTATGTAAATTTCGTCTGAAGTATGGGGTGTTTTGTGATGTGTTTCTAGTTAAGAGGACAGCGATGAGGACCTGAACTTGGTACAGTTGAGAAGGGCTTTGTACTGAATGCACGAAGCCCATAGTGGCTCCAGTTGGGTTCAGTGAAAAGTATTTGCTGGTATTACGCGACTGGTGAACGGTTGTTTTCACATACCATGCTAAGCTTTTAACTTAACTTTTTTTTCACTCGCACAATGGCTTTTCGCTGAGTTGGAAAATATCAGGAGACAGGCCTAAAGCAGCTCTTTTGTTTCTTCATTCGGAATAGGCCTGTGGCACTGCTCAGTGACTAATGCTGAACATCTTCTTTTCTGAATATCTTCTTTTTTCTTTTTTGATCAGTCTGTAATCAAACAATAGTAATTGGTAGTATGCACATCTCACATGTACACTGTGTTTATATCTCATTTTCACACAAAAATAGTTTATAGCGGCTGCATTTCAAGTTGTTTGTTTCTGAATCTACATTTTTAGTTTTACTGAAACATAGTTTTTCCACTTTTACTTACCTTAAGTTTTTCCAGGTGAAAAGTACATATTTGTATCTTTTCATAACCTAATATTTTAAAATAGAACAATAAAATAAAAGCCTGCAGATGAAACAGGGTGTGTGGAGTCAATACAACTTAGAAAATGTTGACCACACTCATATATAACACAGACAAGTCAGTCTATAAGCTTGACTGATAGGTGTTACTGGTCCTTTCAATTAGCATATTTGAAGGGCAGCTTCATTAGACTTTGCTATGAATTTGATTGGATGTTTAATTAAAAAAGCAACAAAATAATTAATTAATATGGCTGGGAACAACAACCTTGACTGTGTGAACGAAACTGTGAAGAGTAGAATTTATTTTTTTTCTCTTGTGAATGTGAATATTAAATTTACACTATATAAAATATGTCCAGATTAACACCTACAGTCGTGTTAATGCTCAAATACCCGATGAAATTTTGTTGGTTCTCTAGGTAAAAATAACTTAACACATCTTCTACAGAGAATAAACCTAAACACAAACTGGCATTTTTTGCTCATTAATGCACAATTTCTATTTATTTAATTGAACAAATACATTTGCACAGTCCACATTTTCTGTTTATTTTCCCCCCAATATGTTAATATCCGCATGTAAACAGTAACTGTTTATTCAAATTGCAGAAGTGTTTTTATTTTTCACTTCATTCAATCAGCAAAATGTTATTTTACCAGGAGTGCCCAAACTTTTGCATATGATTCTAAACAAATAACAATGAAAATGAGCATTCAAAAAAAAAGTAAGAGGTCATGTTTCACATTAGGGGGTACTTGTCACCCCACTGCCTGGCTCTGACCCTGCATTCACTGACTCACTGAACAAGCAATTATTATTAGTAGTAAACGTTCATTGTTAAATCAGCAGTTTTGAAGGAGATGGTTACAGAATGGTCTCATGCCTTTTGCAGAAGGTGTGTCCTCATCAGAAACGCCAACATCTGCGAGAGAAAAACAATAAATGCAACAACAAATTATCAAAATATATCAGTTTCATATGTGTTGTCCAAATCTTGCATTTACATAAAGAGCTTAGTGATGCACATGGGCTGTTTAGACATTTTAACTTCTTGTACAGATTAATTTCAGATCTTATTATAATCGTCTTTCCTCCTTTTTTACCTTTTCTGTCTCTTTTTCGCACAGAAACGTTGAGTGATTGTGGTGCGCTGCATGACTTGGTACTGGTCTGTATGTTCGCTCTTACTTCTGCTTGGGTTGGTCCCTATAAAGCCGTTTTCTGCTGCCGAGACCTTCAATGGCATGTTAAATTTTGACAGATTGCGGAGAGAGGGGAACATGAGCGAAAGAAAAGGGATCTGGCTCCGGCAATGGCCCAGCCTTTGTCCAGGCATAGTGGTCACCTGTCAGGCGCTACAAAGCAGAGCCACCCCCCTTTCAACTGCTGCAACCTGGACCCTTAGATCTCATTTGCTGCTGTATGTGGTCGTGCCAGGGAAGTCTTGGGAAACAAAACTGTGTCGGCCAGAACAATTAAAAGCGTACAAAAGGAAGTCAGGAGGTCAAACAACCAAAGTTCTGTCAGAGACAATGTGCATTACTGTGGTGTCCTTAACCAGAGAAAGGTTCACACCTGCTCAGCAATTCAGTTTAATGCACAAATTTGGACAAACAGAAATTTAAAACTTGCCATATATTTACTAAGACTAAATACTAAATACATGTTACTAAGAACTAGAGAGAGAATGTTTGAGAACAATCTTTAAGTCGGCTTAACAAAGCCAACTAATAAAGCCTCAAAGTTAAAGCAGCTGTAGAATGTTTTTGATGACTTAATTGGGTTTATATAGTAATGGTTTGGCCATTGCTATGGTATTCTAGGTGGTTGCTAAGGGGTTGCTAGGCTGTTGCTATGGTATCCCATGTGATTGATAAGATGTTGCTAGGCGTTGGCCACGGTGGCCAAAGTGGTCACAAAGGTTTTGTTAGGCAGATGCTATGGTATCCCAGGTGATTGCTAAGCCGTTGCTAGGTCTTTGCTATTGCAGCCAAGGTGGTTGCAAAAGTTTTTTTAGGCTGTTGCTATGGTATCCCAGGTGGTTGCTAAGGTTTTGGGGGGCCGTTAGTCTCCCTAGAGGTTGCTAAAGTGTTGTTAAGCCATTGCTAATGGCATCCCAGGTAATTGCAAGGTGTTGCAAGGTTTTTTCTAAGCTATCCATGATGATTACTAAGGTTTTGCTAGCATACTTGTATGATGTTGACAAAAACATTTGGCTACAGAGTGTATACTGACTGTGGTGTAATAAATGACAACAGTATAAGCAACACATATATATTATATGAGTACAATGACTCAAGTTTCAAGCTGATGAGCACTCTCCTATTCATCGCTATGGAAAAAAAAAAACAGTGCTTGAACGAATGCTGTATGGACATCCTAAGTCGAACTGGTTAGAAAACACAAGCAAGCAGAAGCACAACCTATTCGGGTATAGACTCTATGATCATGAAAAGTTTTGTGGTTCCAGTTCGAAAGCTGCAGGAAGACTAGTTTCACACATTTCAGTCCATAGGATAATAATAAAAATAAGAAATAAGAAAAAGAACAATTTTTTCAAGACAACTTAATTAGACAAATGTAAACTAGCCTGTTTATAATTTACTAATATATATTATAGGTCTCTTTTTGTAGAGTGAATGCTCAGGAATGCAATCACCGTAAGCATGTGGATCTCCCATTTACCACACAGTAAGATTCTTAGCCGCAACATATGACTTATCCATTGACACATTACTGAGCCAAATGGCCCAGAGACTTATGCTAGAGCAATCAGTAGCAGTGTATGCGTTCTATGTCACCAATTTCGGGTTCACACTCTAAACTGACGCTATTTTGTAAGTGTTGGCATCAGTTTAGCGTCAATTGCACCACTTGCACAGCAACTTGAATAAACACCGATGACAAATACATCACAGGTAGGAGAAAGGACTGTTCGTGACCTTTTACATTATGTCCCACAAGTGCCCCTTGACACTGCTCCTAGGAGAGACCACCCAGCCAGAAGGTGACAGTGCACCTCAGGACCTGGAGATCATCAATCACTCTCTGTGTCTTGAAGCGTGACCCCCAAGACCTCTGGGCAGAAGGAAGTCCTATTCCAAAATAAACCCACAGACGCAAGAGGGTGGCCATTTTCCTCTTTGTTTTCTGAACACTCGTAAGGGCTGACA